AATTGCAGATTCAATTATTAGATTTGTCAGTATTAATATTTTTATGCTTAGATTTTTTTAGGGGGATCAAACTGTAACACCGTTTGTCCCAACCAGACACGACGCGATAAAAAGTATCTTTTCCTCCTTGTAGTTTTTGTCCTAACCACCCGCGACAGCGACACGTGACATTATTACAAGTTCTATTGTATTTTATTGCGTCACGCCGCTCGCGTCCGTTGTAGACACGATGTAAGTTAATGTAGCTTTCTGATGCTGCGTTTGAATTTTCATGCCACATTATTTGAAATTAGCGCGGGCCAAACTTTTTTCTCTCACGGGCTGGATGTGGCCCGCGGGCCGCCTATTGAGGAACCCTGGTTTATACTATGCTGTTCATAAAATTCATTTTCATAGTCATAAGCTATGTTTCCATCACCCTGTTTTAATGCACATTTTGAAGTATCGCATGAGAAACGAGTGATGGAAATGGCAAATTTCGAAAAGAAATCCCTTAAACGGCAAAAAAAAGTTTACACGCTCGCTTGAGGTGGTTTTTGACTTGTGAGAAAAAGGGTTAATGCGAATAAAGGGGAGATGGAAACACATTTTGCATCACCCTGTTTTAATGCACATTTTGAAGTATCGCATGAGAAACGAGTGATGGAAACGCCAAATTTCGAAAAGAAATCCCTTAAACGGTTAGTTCACCCAAAAATTAAAATTAGGCTGTGTTTTACTCAGAAGAAAGTCATATACACCTAGGATGCCTCTGGGGTGAGTAAAACACAGCCTAATTTAAATTTTTGGGTGAACTAACCCTTTAATTCGCAAAAAAGTTTTTACACTCGATTGAGGTGGTTTTTGACTTGTGTAAAAAAGGGTTAATGCGAATATTGGGAGCTGGAAATGCGTATTTGCGAATAAATCCCGCATGAGCGTTCAAAAAAGTAATGTGACTTTGCGCTATGGGACCGTATAACCTGACTAACCAGTGGACCGATTTTGTTGCACAGCATCTGAAATGTTGTCATGGTCATTCTGAAGTGCCCGAGCAAAGTCTGTCGTCAAAGTATTTCTGTATAACTGCCTCCCAGAACGGTCTATCACGACTATGTTACCAAACAGCTGACATTCACCTCCGAAAGCAAGACTGCATTTATTGTGTTTCGTCTGCTCACTCAAAGCGCAAGCAATTTATTATATTTGAGAATTATTATATTCAGTGGTTTCTCTTACTTTTCTTAGTGATATTTAGTGCCAGTTTATCAGGAAGTGACAATTTTGTTCTCTCTGACTCGTTGGATGGAAACAGTGCTTGTTCACAAATGTTTTATGCGATATTCCAATTTTGCGCATAAGTTAAATTCGCAACTTTGGATGGAAACCCAGCTATAGTCAATTCATTTTAGTAGTCATGTAAGGTTGTTTATTTGTTGCTTTTGGCATTAATTTAGTATCAGTACCATGAACTTGTTATTGTTCCAAAGCCAAAATTTTGCTGTGGATGCAACAGACATCCTGTTGAACCTGTTGTAACATTTTTTGTTTCTGTTCCTTGTTTCTAGAAAACTCAGAGGGCGTCTCACTTCCTCTTGGCAACTCTAAAGATTTCATCATCTCTTTTGACCTGAAGTTTACATCTAATGGTAGTGTCTCTGTCATCTTGGAGACCACAGAGAAAGGTCCTCCTTTTGTTATCCACTACGTCACCACCCCCCAGCTCATTTCTTTTAAGGAGCGTGACATCACCTATGGGATCGGCCCTCGGACTGCATGGACCACGGTCACCCGTGACCTTCTCACTGACCTCCGCAAAGGCATTGGCCTCTCCAACACCAAAGCGGTCAAAGCCACCAAGACCATGCCACGACGTGTCGTAAAGTTAGTGGTGCACGGCCACGGGATGATAGACAATATCACGATCTCCACCACTTTGCATATGGCGGCTTTTTTCGCCGCCAGCGACTGGTTGGTGCGCAACCAGGACGACCGCGGTGGTTGGCCGATCATGGTGACTCGTAAACTCGGGGACGGTTTCCGTGCTCTGGAGCCCGGTTGGTATTCAGCCATGGCACAGGGGCAGGCCATGTCCACTCTAGTGCGTGCCTATCTGATGACAAAAGATGATGCGTACCTAAAGGCTGCCTTGCGTGCCACCGGACCTTTCAAACTGCCATCGGAGCAGCATGGCGTCAAAGCTGTGTTCATGAACAAGTATGACTGGTATGAGGAGTACCCCACAATCCCTAGCTCCTTCGTTCTCAACGGGTTCATCTATTCCCTCATAGGCCTGTATGACCTGGCGCAAACCGCAGGTGAGAAGCTCGGTCGGGATGCAGGTCAGCTGTACAGCAAGGGGATGGAGTCCTTGAAAGTTATGCTGCCCTTGTACGATACGGGGTCGGGCACCATCTATGACCTGCGCCACTTTATGCTGGGCACGGCGCCCAATCTGGCTCGTTGGGACTACCATACAACGCACATCAACCAGCTGCAGCTACTGGGTACTATCGACAACTCACCCATATTCAGGGATTTCGTCAAGCGCTGGAAAAACTACCTGAAAGGAGGGAGGGCCAAGCACAACTAAAGCGGAGCACACCTCTACGATCTCTTCATGCCCTCACATCCTCTTCCCGACTGCCACCATGAGGGCCACGGTGTCTAGCGAGGAGAAAAAGATGGCTGAACACTTCGGTAGCCCTCTGACTTTTCAGTTTGAGACAGTAATTGCAGTGCTTCTTGTGTCTGTGCTGAGGTTTTAATTAGGTACAAATGCAGCTGCTTGCAGCATGTGTCTGGATAAGGAAGAGGGAGGGCTTATGTATTTAAAATTCAAAGCCTCAGATCTGCAGGTTTGAGTGAGAAACACGTCTGCTGAGATTTGCCACATTTGGGCTCACTTCAGTCAAGATGAGGAATCGCAAAGCAGCTTTCAGAACCTTCTTCCAAAGTCAAGCTCAGAAAATAATTAGTCATCAGACAGGCAAAATTGTCGAGAAATAACTCGTAGAGAACAACCTTTAGCTGCAATAGTTATTTAAGTTCATAGTCTGTGAGCAGAACATTGCAAAAAATGCATATAAGCTACGGATAAAAATGCTGAAAATGTCCTCAAGTGTAGCATTGTTATATTTCACAGAGCACTGAAGGTTTACTCGGTCGGCTTGACATTGGAAGGAAACGCAACGCCTTTTGTTCAACCCACTGTCTAGCCTTCGGTCTGCATTTCATGATCCTTTGCTCTGTCAGACCCTCGCTACAATCAGATTGAGCTGTCACGAATGCGGCCCAGTCCTGCCCATAATGCACTTAAAGCTTTAGAGAGGTGGTCGTAGGTCACTTCCTGTTTACAACAGATTTCGGGAAACATTGCTGTAGTTATTAAGACACCACTGTCCTGGACTAACAAACATAGAGGCTGCTTTTTGAGAAATCTGAGGGACACTGAATGGTCGTGTAGCTGGTGTTCATCCCTGTAAGACGTCAAACCTCAGTTAAAATTGTGCTACATGTAGACTGGTCATGCACTTTACTTGTGTGGCATGTGTGTGTGGTGAAGATGCGTTTATACAACCATGTGATGAATTATGACTGATTTTTGACATCCAGTTTTTTTTCTCTCTCTCTTATCCTTAATGGCAGTAAATCATTTATAAGGGAATTTTCAGGTTTTGTTTATTGTAGCTGTACCCATTTTCTCAAATTTCTCTCTTTTTTTTCTTTTTTATCAGGTGATTGTTATACAATTTATTTTTGGACAGCTGTATTATTTCTCTTGATATTATTTTTATAAGTAACATCTCCCCCTTTTTTTGTTTTGAATGTCACAAACACAATTGCCGTAATGTGGAGCAAAAGAATGAGAATGTTTCTTTCACATTCAGTTGAATAACTTGCATCTCAGGCAAGCAAACAATGCTGTTTCATGTATTAAAAAGATACTAATAATCAGTACTTCCTCATTAAAGTATAGAGTATACTATAGCATCAGGTTTCTGTTCGTTTTTTTAAAATTTTTAATCCAAAAGCATCTCCTCACATCACCAAAAACATTTCAGCAGCCTTATGACTAGTGCAGCCAAGTGTCTGAGACTGCAGATGGAGTTCAAAAGAGTTTTGGCCGTGTCACTTGATGTTTCTCAGAGCGATCAGCTTGTCCTCAGCAGTAAAAGCTCCACCTGGCTGAATCCTGTCGATCTTAATCTCACCTAACCACAGCTGCTAAGATGCCGAGATGTTATCCCATTATCTGGCATCCTGCTGTTCTGAACCATTTCAAACAGATGTTCGCATTCCTGCGTGGGCTTTTGGCTTCAGATTTTCAGAAAATAAATGTCAGAGAAGAACAAATGTGGCATTTCTGAATGTTTGATATGAAAGCTTCTGATTTGTTTGGCAGAGATAGCGTTTTGAGACTATGGGTGCTTTAGTCCTGAGGCGTAGCTTTTGTGTTGACCTTTTTTGGTTTAAAAATCATGTTTTGCCGTGAAAATCAGGTTGCTTGTAGTCTCGCTGACACAGATCTCACATATACTATGCACATTTCATACTTGTCGCTTAAAGGACAGACAGAGGTATGTTTAAAGGGGAAAAGATGTTACCACGAGTGAGGCAGAGAGCTACATTTAATTTATACTGTACCAAAGTCTTTAAAGCATTAGTTTTTGTATTATGCTGTATGGAAGACCATGGAGCATTTGTCTTTTTTTAGTTTGGAAAGGTGATGGGATTAAAGGAACACTTTGAGGTGGTAGTTACATGCCTTCCTCTTGCGAAGAAATGCCTTTTGATACTTTTTTTTTTTTCACCTTCAGTCTAGATTTGTACAAAATGGAGTGGGTATAGAAGGGAACAGGGGATATTATTAATCACTGCTATCTATGGGGATGTGTGCAAATCTTGAAGTAGAGCTAACGCTCAGTGCTACATATTTCAAAAGGGAAAAGCGAGATTTGGAACAGCATGTCTGTTCTTGAAAGCCTTGTTTCAAAGCAGCCTCCTTTTTGAGTTGAGTTGACCAAATGTTGGTTGCATTTGAGAACTCCTTGGAGTAAGCAATGTTAAAGCACAACTATAGTTTCTTTCATTAATTTATTCACTCTCTCTCTCTCTGTCTCTCTCTAAAAATGTTTCCAGTCTGGACTTTGTGCAAAGCCTTCCTCTGCAAGCTGCTGCAGTTTAGAATAGTAAAACTATAGAAAAGAGTAGAACAGGTTTACCTTTTTCCCTCTTCTTTTTTCTGTTTTGTTTCATTCTTGATTTATAAATTGACATGCGAGGTGTATTTCATGTGTATGCAATAAATGATTGAACTGAATCTCAACAGCTGCACACCCAGAGGTTGTACAGACTTTGCAACGGAAGCACAATGTGCGATCATTTTTATGCAGGACAAATGTTTATTAAAGTCTTTGTGCTTTAAATTGTTTTTTTTTTTAATTGTATAAATAAAGGCATTTCGTTTTATACATAAAAATTTGTCCACTGTGTTCCTTTTAATAAAGCAGCATATTTGACATTCATATGCATATTGACTAGATTTTCCTCATTTATTTAGATTTTGATTCATTTTTGATTCATTTGTTAAGTCCTATCCGGTCACTTTTATACTTCCTCACTAGCTGAGCAGAAATGAGCAGTGTTGAACACTGCTTGAGGTGCCTGCTGCATCTCCCTGCAAAAGTCCCTGTTCACTATAATCCCCACGACATTTCTCTCTATCTCAGTCACACATATGGACACTGCGGTTTAATTACTAGCTGCAGCCTGGGGTCTGATTCGGCACATTAAACTCTGTTCTCATTCTTCTGTCCTGTCTCTGCCTCTCTCAGTTCTGCATGTTGTTTTAGCCAGCATTAGCTGTGCTCATAACACTGGTAGACTGTAGGTGAAGGCGCCCCATGGAGCTCATCTTTTAATGACTGTCCGATCAGATTATCACTGTCTTTACCCAGACTCAGCCAGCTGACGCTTGTGGTCTGTGGTCTGTCTGAGTTGTTGTTGTTGTTGTTTTTTTCTTGGGCCGGATAGCAATTATTATTATTTTTTTACAGCTCCAGAATTTTTTAAAATTCATTAATTAATGGCATATTTCAGTCATAATGTCTATTTTCCATATAAAAATGTTAGCTGTTAGCTAATGCTGTAAATTGGGAACCTTCTAAATGGGTAAATTTACAAAAATGTTAATTAATGAGATTTGCAATAGACCTAGAAAATATACAGTTTAACTATGCTGTACTTTTAACAGATACGCCTATAATAATCATGCAAACTGTGGGTACAAACTGAAGTGAAAGAATTTGTTAAACTGTTACTGTTAACAATGTGTAAAATCATTAGGCCTATAAAATTATCAACTCGTGGACACATCAATGATTACGTTTTTTTTTTTTTTTTTTTTTAAAGAGTCATTTGTTTGTGAATGGGCCTAGTTTATTTTTTTGTTTCGAATTCAAGTTATTTGTTTGTGCTCATGCTACAATGATACCACTGTGTAAACCGGTTGTTTTTACTGGATCAAAAACATGCATCAAAAACAAACTAATGTAGTTTCCTTGTCGATCTGTGTGTGACTCATGCTTTTGATTAACCAAAAAGAATCCGTTATATAGTCATTTGTTCTTGGACTACGCTTGTCACACTGTATGTTCAACTGTATAGAAAGTTATTGTTTGCTGTATTTTTAGCAAATTTCTTAATTCTGTTTAGACTTCAAACCCTGGCTCTAGTTTCATTGGCAGAAGCATCCCTCAAAAGGAAATCTCCATTAATCAGTAGATCAATATTCTTTCTCAGCCTTAGTTTATTCTTTTAAAGCAAGACATTACAGGCAAAACCATTGATTTTTTTTTTCATGGCACAAATCTCCACTTTAGAGGAACTTACACCAAACTCTCCAGTTTTATTCCTATCTATATTCTGAAGGTTTTTGTTCATATATCTTTTGCCTGAAAGATAGTGGTTAACATGGTGATTTTGTTTTTCCCTGGCTGTTGACAGGTTTTTTTTTTATTTATGCCATGATATAAAGAGATTGTAAACGTGGCTTTATCCAATGTTCAGATTTCAGAGATTGATGTATGCAAATGAGTGCATATTTAATTAGATAATGCTTCATTTGCATATTTAAACAACATTTTGGAAAAACTTGTAACACAAAAACAACTGTCTTCACGTTCTGTGGTTAATCAACTGGGCAAGTATGGTGTTATCTATTAGTTACATTTTTTTTTTACCCTATTCACCTGGTGTCTTGCCTTGAAATGTCTTTTTAAAACTTCACTTCTTCAGAGATAGACTCGCTCGCACATACCAGCAAAACACAGGAAAACAATTCCCAGACTAACACTGAACTGTCAAATATCAGTTTATTCTTGAGTGTTTCATTACATTCAACTCATGTCTGCCTCCCCGATGTCTGCAGCAGACGTTTCAGTTGTCTGCTTGGTTTGGCATTGTAACAGGACACAGCGAGTGATGTGGCTTTTGTGTCTGTGTGAGATTCACACACACACACACACACACACACACACACTCTCACTCACTCACTCACTTGTGTCATTTTCAGTTTGTGACCTAATACCTCAGCTATGCAGAGTTCAGACTCTTCTCATCCGGCACACCCTGAGATGTTCTGATATATTTTACCCTTGGTAATATTACTGTGACCGAAGTGACAAAGATATCAGTGCTGCAGAGAGAGAGAGAGACAGACAGATGTGGAGGCAGGAGTTGATGCTAGCATATTGTAGCAGTCTGGGGGGTTGTATAGGCCATGCCCTCCGCAGCAATGTTTGATTCTGTCTGTTCGTATCTGGCCTTCACACTGCTGCTGCTGCTGCTTAATTATGCAGTAATCAAGGCTACACACACACATATCCTCTCATGTTTGCCCTCCAGACGATACACACACAAACACACACTTAATGAAGCAGATGAAGAGTGTTTGAGCTGAATAGAGATCGAGAGGTAATGAGAGAGTTGCTGCAGTGATGAAACAAACGTCCTTCTCTGCTAATCTGGAAGACTGGACAAGTGCCAGTATTATGGTGGATATGTTTCTTAAATAGCTTTTTGCATCATAATTCATATGCAACCCACTTCTTAAAAGACAAACTCCTGATTTAGGTTTAGTGTAGACAGTCTTATATTAAATTGCAACAGAGAAAAAAAGAGATGAAATAGCATTACTGATTTCATATCAGTAAACATTTGGTTCTGCTCCTCCCTGTCTGTGTTTTTCACTGGAGAATACAGAAACAGACTGATTTAGATTATTGCTTTGCCAGTGTTTTGCTTCAAGTCAGGGCCACTGGAGATGAAAAAAGGCTCATATCCACTAATAAAAAGAGGAAGTTTTCACTTGTGGATAAAGGAGCTAATATTTAGATTTGTACCTTTTTTGAACATTCTACCCCTACATTTGTCCCATTGATGTGACAATATTAATTAAATTTTCATCGTCAATGTGTCTGCCTGTATGTTTCCTTCATGCGGATCAATGTAGAGGCAAGTTTAGGGAGAAAGACGATTTAAATAAGAAAGCATTTAAAACAAGAAACCATAAATAAAATCAAAATTGACAGCTTCTGGAAGAATATGAATTTTGACATGACACTGGATACAGAGAGACGTGGTGGATTACTTTAGATTAGAAAATGCTGCCATCATGTGGGGTGATATTTGGCATAACTGTTACGGAACCACTCAAAACCGCTTCACCCACACCTTCACCAACTGTACATTCTGCCTTCTGTTGTAATATTTAAACATATTGTGTAATGCCTGCTTTGCAGTTAATCCCTAATTTCCTTTCAAAATCTGCACACCAGAATCACAAGATGTCCACACTGATATGTTTTAAATGGAAAAATATTTTTACAGTCTTTTCACAGGATGTGGTCGATCATTTGATAGACCTATTATTTCACACTGTTGTATGATTTTTAAGCTTATTTGACTGGAAATATGAATTATTACATACAGAATAAATGTTATAAATAATCTTACAAATGTGTTATATTTCAGCATACTATGTATTAACTTTGTAAATATATGTGTTTTCACACCCTCCATTCATTACACAACTTCACCTACACTTCCTGAAACTGCCTTAAACACCCAACCCTGAATGAGCAAGTGGGGTCTGTCCTGGCAGAGCACAACAAGCTCAGTTTTCTGCGTAGATGTACTGGGGCAATCCTGTGACCTTGTTTCAAATATCATAATACATTTTTTTTTCATGTGCTAGTACACATGCTTAAGTCGGCAGTGTTTACACCTACGCTTGAGTTTAAAATTCTCAGAAAAAAACCTGTTTAACCTGCAGGGATTATTAGGTGCAAAAAGGGAAAATGTTTTCAAACAATCGTTGTTTACATAATTCTTAAAGGGGTCATATGATGCGATTTCAATTTTTCCTTTCTCTTTGGAGTGTTACAAGCTCTTGGTGCATAAAGAAGATCTGTAAAGTTGCAAAGACTAAAGTCTCAAATCCAAAGAGATATTCTTTATAAAAGTTAAGAGTCAGCCACGCCTACCTAAAACGGCTCGTTCTAACACGCCCCCACATACCTACGTCACGATGTGGGAAGATTTGCATAACGCCGCCCAAATGTTCACGCAAAGAAAGAAGGCATAACTTTTATTCTTGCTATAGTGTTGTTGCTGCCGCCATGACGTGAAGGCGCTGTGTGTTTCGTTGTGAAAGCGAAACTACTTTGTTTGGCCTTCCAAAAGAGGACACGACTAGAAATCAGTGGTTAGTGAAAGTGAAAGTGAAGAAAGTGAAAGTGAAAGTGACGTGACATGTGGCCAAGTATGGTGACCCATACTCGGAATTAGTGCTCTGCATTTATCCCATCCGAAGTGCACACACACAGCAGTGAACACACACACATCGTGAACAAACACCCGGAGCAGTGGGCAGCCATTTATGCTGCGGCGCCCGGGGAGCAGTTGGGGGTTCGGTGCCTTGCTCAAGGACACCTCAGTCGTGGTATCGAAGGTGGAAGAGAGCGCTGTACATTC